GAGGAAGGGAAAGGAATAAAGAGTTAGAAACATTGATGAGATAGAAACATCAATCAGCTCCCTCCTGCACACTCCCTACTGGGGATGTGCCCTCAACCAAGGTACATGCCTTTGGCCGGAATCAAACCTGGGACCCTTGAGTCCGCAGGCTGACGCTCTATCCACTGAGCCAAACCGGTTAGTTCAATATAGGTCTTTATGACCAAGAGTCTACCACTAGGTCCAACAAATAGCAGCTTCAAAGAATAAACACATTATATCGCACAGTTTCTGAGGGTTGGGAATCCTTGAACAACTTAGGATGGATGTGACTCAGGTTCCCTCATTAGGTGACTATCAAGATAGCTGGGACTCTGTTATCTGAAGGCTTGAGTAGAGCTGGAAAATTGGCTTGCAAGACATACTCATTACATAGCTACTAAAAAAGACTATATTTCTTTTTAAATTGAATTTATTGGGGTGACCTTGGTTCACAAAACCATAAGGTTTCAAGTGTACAATTCAACAAAGAGGTTTTAGCTTCTTGTCACATGGTCCTTTCAACAGGGCTGCTCCTGATATGATGGCTGGCATTCCCATATCAAGTGACCTGAAAGAGAAAAAGAAGGAAGAAGCCACACCACCTTTTATGAACTAGACTCAGAAGTGGCATACCATCATTTCCACTGTCTTTCACTGGTCACACATATCAACTGTGGGACAATGTGGAAAGAAATTATACAAAGTTCAATTTGAAAGTGGTAATCATTGGTGAACATCTAGCATTTGGCTATAATGCACACTTTATGGATTTTCACCTTTATAATAACAAAGACTGATAATGTAAGACACACCTCTTTGAGAACTGCAAAATTTATAAGTACATTTACAATTGTTACTATGTGACCTAAGAAAGGATAAGGCAATGTAGAGAGTAGGATTGGTGCCTATATAATCTCATTTCACACACCTTGACAGGAATTGGCAAACTATGGCTTGTGGAGCAAATTTGTCCCACCATTTATTTTTCTAAATAAAATTCCCTTGTAACACAGCTAAACCATTCATTTACATACTATCTATGTTTTCTTTTTGCACTGCAATGGCAGAGTTTCAACAGAGACTGGCCCACAAAGCTAAAAACATTTATGATTCATTTTTTATAAAATTCTTTGAAGATATAAAGAGAAAAAATTCAAAAACTCCAAAATTACAGAAATGTCAAGGGTGGGTAAATATTCCAAATATTTCCAAATATGTAAAGAAATGATAAGGCACCAATGAGCATACTCATATAATGCTCTTAATAAGGGAAAATCGTCTGATACAGCAGGTGAAAGAGAATTCAAATGAGTTGGGGACTGAGAAACATCCAGGAGTATACTTCCCAATGTTATTCTTATTTACACAAAGATAATTTTTCTCTGGATAAAACTGCTGATATTTGTTCTGATATTTATGTGATGAAATTTGGTTTTAGGAGAGCTGAGGCAGAAGTTTCCTGTAGAGTTTGGTCATATAATGGAGACAGGATGTCTAACCAATTATCTCCACTGTAAGTTATCAATAAACAAATTGGCCCTTGAGACTTTTGAACTTAAAAAAAAACCTTACCATAAATAATTAGTTAGTTAGTTAGTTGGTTGGTTAGTTCACTGTCCTTACCATGACCAAGAGGCAAAAACCGATGCTCAAATATCTCGAGATAAGCAGAAAGCTGTCCTGACCCCATTGTAAAATAACCCCATTGGGCAAATTTAGATGTCACTAATGGAGTATCTAAGAATGAATATATCGGGGTAACCATAAAACCACATATATAATTACATATTGTTTTGTGATTAATCACTATGCTTTAATTATGTTCAATTTGTAACAATGAAAACACATCCTGCATATCAGATATTTACATTACGATTCATAACAGTAGCAAAATTACAGTTACGAAGTAGCAAGGAAAATAATTTTATGGTTGGGGGTCACCACAACATGAGGAACTGTATTAAAGGGTCGTGGCATTAGATAGGTTGAGAACCACTGCTCTAAGGGTTACATATTTAGGGTTACAGGGTAAAATTAAGGAAGTCTACACGGACTATTGCCATATTATTTTGTGTGTTTCTTATAGATTTCCTCACCCTCTCCCATTTGTTTTACATCTAACACTGAGATAGTCACTCAACTAAATCCTTCTATGTGAATAATCCCATTTCAAAAAAATATAGAGAAAAAATAAAAAAATAAAGTGTCTATCCCCAGAGAATATATTAGAAATCTCATGTCAGAGGGGAAAAAAATACTTAGTAGAAAGACCTTTATGTAAAAGAAGTCTCTCCCATCCCAAAGATTATAAAGATGCTTTCAGGATGAAGGAAAGCAGAATGCAGGTCAGAGTGGGAGGAATAATATTAAACATGAAATGGGTCACATGGTCAAAGCCTGAGTATGACTAATAAAAGGGGACCATGCTGTGAGAGAGACACACGCCATGGGTGACTAGAATCCTCCATTCAATCTAGAACTTTTCATTGGAATACTCAGAAATTATATGGAAGCTTAAAAAACTCAGAGCTATAATTGGGAGGCAACAGTAATTTTCTTCTCCCAGTGGAGACAAATTTTGACATAGATTAGTCTCTGAAATTAGACATCATCTACCATATTTATCATCTTGTGCTTCCTCATTGCTCCTGCAACTGGGATGAAAGTTCGTGAGCTCTCAGAAAAAAAGGCAGGTTGGGCTCTGCACACCTCATAGGTGATGATGCACAACCAGCAATTGGAACCTACATTTGGATGCGGCTAAATGAAAGCAGTTGACATTCATCCAGACAGAAATTATGAAAATAGAATATCCTTGGTTCATTGCAGAGGAAATCACTCTAAACAAGAAAACAAACAAAAGAAACAAGAATCCCAAAGGAAATTGCTTCATGAGAGGAGGACAGGGAGATGGGAGATTTGGAACAGAAAACTACTCATTTAATTATAATCTTATCTATACTGTTTTTTAAATTGAATTTAAAGTGTATTGCTTGGGAATCATGTGGACAATAAAGCCAAAACATAAAATATCCAGGAAGAACAATGTATGTTCGCTTAGTTCCAGTTAATCATTTGAAAAATGTTTTAGTCTGTCCTGTGCTGTTGTTTTTTTCATAATATAACCTAAGTGTATTTTTCCCAAGTCAATCTTTATACATGAAAGTAAAGAGTTCAGTTTTAGTCTTATTATATTTATACAATGACAAATAAAAGATCCTTTCTTATTCCTGGCTCATTATATATTAAAAATCAATTTGAGTTCTTAATTATTATTATTTAATTGAAATATAAAACTACTAAATACATAGACATGTCAATAAAAATGTCTAAATATGTCTATACAATAATTAACCAAAAAGAAAGGAAATTGGATTCTGAAATCTGTAATACTGTAAAAACCTCATCCAGATCTCAGGACTGGGACCTCATTGTGTTCCTAGCCCTTCTATGACACATTCAGAAACTCCTCTATAAAATGATTCACTCCCTCTTCCACAAAAAAAAAGGGAATTGCTCATATTTTACACATAACTTTTAGGAAAAGGTTCTTGGGATTGATTAGGGATTAAGATCTTCAATGCACGTGCAAATCTTTTATCGATTGATAAAAAAGAGTGAAGTAAAGAAAAAGGTATTGTTAATGTATGCAATCAGGACGTGGAGTCCCTTTGCCCTTGCACATTCTGAAAGCAATCAACCAGGAATTACATATTTGACCAAAGACTTAAAATCATCCTACAGAACTCAGGAGCATCAAGAGAAAACACAAATGTGTGCCCCTCTGGAGCTGGAAGATACCTGAGGAAACTTATATGGCACTTTCACCTCTACATTAATGCATGTAGAAGTGTAGGTATCCAGAAAGGACTACCAGAAATGTGAGATGAAGATGGGAATTCCCAATATAGTACTCCACAGAAAGGTCTGAGATGATGTTGGTGTATACTATTTAATGTAAATTGTTTTATTTAATTTTCTGCAGAGAAAATTTACCAGAATGTATACATGATAATATTGATCATATGCACTAAATCAAAATATTTATAAAATTATTTACCTGAGGTTTTATAATTTTATGTATACAATGCATGCATTTCATCAATTTTAAAACACATGTTTTCAAATATAAGAAAATTTCATGATAAAATATAATATGAAACATTTTACAGATCTCAGAAATAGATAATTCGTAATGATGTAAGAGGCAGACTTACCATTCTTAGTAATACTGGACCTTCATTGCCCACCCTTCTGCCCTAAGCAACACCTAAATAAGCGGTTGTTTACAGATATAATAATTTTCATCTGTGCAGGGTTCTCCCAAACCCCTTTTGAGTGCATTATACACCATGCAGTTTCCTGCATTTTTATGTTCAGTGAATTCAAATCTGTAATGAAAAATAAAATGTTATATAGAAAAAAGAAATAAAAATTTCCTATCTGAAATAAAATATATATTTGCTAATTTAGTCTAGGAAGACAAGTCAGAGCATAAAAGTGTCATATGATGCTACAAATACCATGTGTGAGTGGAAGCAATATTCCAAGATTACAGATTACAAATATACAGAAAATAAACTCAGATTATATAAAACATGGGAGGATGCTGAAAATATTGGGTCCCACCAGAAAAAAAAATGGCTATCCTGCTTTTCCTGGACAGTTTATGTGTGAGAGGGCAGCTTTTTATCTCTTACGTTGTTGCTAATTATCTGCTCATACAAGTTCTGGAACAAAGGTAAAAAGAAAAGTCAAAACCTATTTTATGGTCCACAGTACAGTAACTTCATGTCACTTGAGCATTTACTTGGATGTTCTAGATAAGGGTAAAACTGTTGTTCTCTTGTACCTAATCTCTTTTCTGTATTCTCATACTCCAAACAGGTTTATCTTAGCTACAGTGTTTCTGGAATTTATATTCTCTGAGTACTAAGGATAAACTCATAAAGAACAGGAAAGGCTTGACCATAAGTAACTTACAGATTTTTGGAGAAAGCAGAGCCATCCTCCCACAACCAGGCATGATGTTGGTCAGAGTAAGAGAGTCCAATCCAGTGAAATTTTCTAATGTATTTCATAAACATCTGCTTTGAAACAGAGACAAATATATTAATCTAATTTGAATCTACTCTACAAATAAAGTACTTTCAAGAAAGTTAGTGTCCAGAATCATATCCAGACTCTAAATCACTCAAACTGAAATCATTTTAAAAGTCTAATACAGGAAGTATGGTCATGTCTCATCATGTTCTCGCATATGAGGTCCATTCATTTACGGAGAAAGAAAATATCACAAATCTCAATTCTTGAATGAATGGAAAACTTTATAAAGGGGTTAGATCTTCATGGAACAGTTTCTTCACAGAAGATCAACCATAAAATTTGTTCCAAATCAAAAGCATCTTGAGGAATAATTTTTCAGATGTAACCTTTTCGTCCTATACTCCCCACAAGTTCCTCATGCAACTGGAGAACTCTTCCACTTGTCTTAAGAGTTGGGTAACTATTATATCATGCTCTCATATTCGTTCCTCCTTATATCCAAGAACAATTGCAACGGCTATATAATTACAAAAATTATATATCCAATTAAAAAACTAAAAATTGAAAACTTGCTTAATTGGTTCTTTGAATAAAAATAATGACCTATTAGTCATTTCTTCTTTGATTTCTCTCTAAAATGCCTCTTTTACTTTATCTGGCATCTATCTTAATTTTTATTTCTATAATATAAATTTTTGAGAAATTTTATGTTGGTTTTGTAATGATTGTTCTAAGGAATAAAAAATTAATAAGTCATTATTAGGTCAAATATAACCATCCATTTACTATCTGAAAAGGCTTGAATCAAAGTAATCAGCTTACTTAGATAATATGTTATCCTAGGCCAAAGACAATATAAAAAAATAAATTAAACACATGCCAGCTCATCTCTGTTTTTTAACTGAAGTAGACTGGAATTCTGAGAAGCACAGAAATCCCTACTTTCTGCCCAAGTTTTTCTTTCATTGGAAATGAAGTAACAGTTGTTTTGATGCCCAATCCACTTTTCTTGGCAAAAACAGTAGCCAGAGCCTAAAAGAAAAAAAATAAAACTTAACTGATGACATTGGAGATTCAATTTTTTAAGCGCTATTTACTCATTCAAAAATCATTTTATTTTTTTCTACAAATATTTTTTGAGAGACTACTTCAGAGGATAGTCATGTGAATGAATCATGAGCATTATATTCTAGAGATAGCATGAGAATTATCAATCTGTTATTAATCATATTTAATGCTAGTTTGGATAAGTATACATAAGAAATTCAGTATGTTAAAATATCCATGTCATTATAGTAGAGTGTAGGAAGGGACCCAAAGTTGAGCTCTGCTGTGTGAATAGGATTAATTAGATGGAAGAGATATTTAAGGGAGAAAGACATTTTAGCATATTTCCTGAGTCAGAAATAAATATTGTACATTGGGAGAATTATGATATATATTTTAGATATTTTATTTTCAAATTGAAGATAAATAAAACAATTAGTTTGAAGACCAATCATACAGTTAACTGGTAATAGTGACTTGAATATTTAATCCTCAGATATAGGTGTAATTATACATGGTATGTACTCAAATTTTTGCCAAGTGAATGGTGCTCAAATTATAGAGTAGAATGGTCATTACATGGGGAGGGGAGGGGGGAAATGGAGAGAATTTGGAAATAAACTTCCAGTTAGAAGGTCAGTGTTCTAAGGGTCTACTGAATAACATTGGGATTAGTTAGCAATACTGTATTATACACTTGTAAGTTGCTAAAGGGTAGATGTTAAATGTCCTCAGGACAAAAAAGAAATGCAATTATGTGATATGATGGAGGTATTAGCTAGTGCTACAGTCGTCATCATATTATAATATATGTGTATCAATATCAACACATTGTATATTTTAAACTTATACTAGTATAATGTTATATATCAATTATATCGCAATAAAGCTGGAAAATACCTCAAGAAGAAAAAGATAAATAAAGTACTATTTGATCATAGAAGATGATGAGACAACTTGGAGAGAATTTGGAAAAATGCATTAAAATAATTGGACTCAGAGTTGGCTTACAATGGAAAAGTAGGTTCAGATTTCTATATTCTGAGTCATGTAAAAAATGAAGCAAAGGTAAAGAGATATATAAATATAAGTTATGAGCATATAAGTTATGAGCAAACACTGGTAGATAATAAGGATTAGCTGTAATATGTACTATAATTTTTTTTGATTTGTTATTTAAATATTAGCACTCATACAGGAAAAACATGTCATTTCAGGCCAATATTTTCCTTATTACTTAACTATATAAATGATGCACATTCAATGTACTAGTAATTTAATAATTCTTACATTAGAGACCAAAGAAATGAGACTATTCTACAATTAGTAGATAAACTTGTCTTTTACTAAGTGTAATATTCCATCACACTTCTGTGTGAGAAAAACAAGAAACTATTTCATGCTCTATCAAAACTAATATTTTCCAAATTGTGGAACCTACCTTTCTGAGGTTCCATGGTGGTGGGTCCTGGAGATGATGTTGGCTGAATACTTTGTTTAGTAAGTGCTGTGAGAAATAATTAGAAATTTACTTAATTAGACACAGGTTTGTAAAATAGAACAATATCATACATTAGTAAAATGAAATATTTCTTATTGAATGGCTTCATTCCAGTCTTGATCTTTATATCTACTTGCCTAGAAAAGCTTACCCTTGCTCAACACAATTCCCAAAGTAGCCATCAGCACAAGGCACATTACTCCTAAGATCCCAGAAATCAACCTCCATGGAGTTCTCTGAAAAGCTGTCGAGAAAGGGAGGTAGGGGAATGAGTTGAATAACAAACGCAGAAGCTAAAGTGCTTATACGCAGAAACTAGAGAGAGAATCCAACAATTTATTCGATTTGAAATCCCAACTATCTTGCCAATGAAACATTGAAAAATGAAGACATCCCATTGAGAATTCCACCCAAAAGTAAAAATTTTATGTGATGTACTTTATTCTTTAGGAAGGTTACCCATATCTTTTCTTCTTTACCAGCTCTTTCTCAGAAAGCGGATTCAACATTTATTTTTAATTTGGCAAAGAAGCCCAGAGATCTGGAGTAAGAAGAAATGAACAGGCACCCAGCTCTGTTTTATGGGCTTACAAAACAAACATTTACTTTAATTTTCTCAACAAAAATCACAAGATAGTAGTATGATTCCCATTAGATAGATGAGAAAATTTAGAACTTATTATTAATATTATTTTCTCAAGATATCAAAGCTAGTAAGTACCCAAGTCAGAAATCAAACGAAAGTTTGTCTAGGACCAGAGTCTTTATTTAATATATTCTGTCATTGTCACAACATACTTGGGAGCATGTCCTTTTGAGACTACTCTGAGAAAGTCAGGTCTCCTAGATTTGTAGAGATTTTACAGGGAAGAAAAGACATTGGAGTATCTGGATCAAAGCATGTTCAATACATGGGGAGCTGGGTTTATATCACATTGGATTATGATACATAAGCAACAATTTTTTACAAGAACATTATATTACTTAATACCTCATATTCCTTGCTTATAACCATTTTCCGTACAACAATTCAACATTAGGAGATTCTGCATTAACATCAGCACACTCCTAAAATGTTGTCATTAACAACTGACCAATGTGTCAAACTGTCAATCTGGCTGGTGTTTGGACTTCACAAGCCAAATGCAAAATTTTAAAACAGCACTTGTAAGCACTGTATCTTAAATATTTGGCATTCTCTATTTTACTAGAGAATGTTGCTCATCATTTAACCTGGAAAATTCAGTTCTCATTTAGAATTTAGAGCTTTCCCTGCCATTAGTCGCTTTTTAGACCTGTTGGGAAAGCTTCACGAAATCATTTCTAAGAATCAGAGAAGTAAAATTAAATGGGAAAGGCTGATAGACGGGAAGCCTAACATTTTCCATATTATTTTCTTACAGCATGCCCTGACATGAGCTATACCCACAAGACACCGCTTCCATTTATATTTACTTTTAAATTTTTGAATCAGGCCGACATACCTGCCATGAGAAATGCTGTTCCAGTGTGGACACAGATAAGTCACGATGTTTGTTTGTTTAAGAAGAACGGTGTTGAATCACAGAATTGAGCTGAAGGCTAAGAACCTGAAAGTTGTGTATGAAGAAATTCAAAAGGAAAAGGAAAAGGAAAAAAAATTGTGTATTTTTAGTGATATTTTTGATGTTCCGGAAACCACAATACAGGAAATTGTCACTACACTTGTGTAATGCAAATTCTCTGACAATCAGAAGGGAAAAAAAGTAAAAGGTTTTTTTAACGTTTGAACAGGGATCATCTTTTAAAAATATTGGGAAAATGGAAAAAAAGATGGGCAAACCAAAGGTAAATTTGCGTAGTATAATAAAACGCCACAAGAATTTTCTTCTTTTAATAATGATAAACATTTATAATTTACCTGTGTTGAACACAGATTCAATTACTTGGCATATATTAGCACATTTGTTTCTGAATATTGCTTAATTATAAAGATACATAAATATACTTATTTTTCTGATGAGAAAATGAAGGCAGAACTAAATATATGACCAAGGTCATTAAGTTTGAGACTCTTTCTCCAGAGCACACATGCAATGTATTTCAAGTCAGACCTATCCCTCTGTGTCTATGTTTTGAGATTTTGATTTCTTTTCTTTTCTTTACCACAGAGTGGTTGCTATTTCCATTTCTCATTGTGTGCTTCTGATCCCTGCTTCATTAACCCCCGTATGGAAGGTGAAGGTCAAAAAGGTAGAACCAGAGTGATTTCCCATTACTGTTCCATCCATGCACGCACACACACACACACACACACACACACACACACACACACACACCTGTGCTCTACAACAGCCTCAGTTGGTCTAGGCCAGGGGTGGGCAAACTTTTTGACTCGAGGGCCACAATGGGTTCTTAAACTGGACCGGAGGGCTGGAACAAAAGCATGGATGGAGTGTTTGTGTGAACTAATATAAATTCAAAGTAAACATCATTACATAAGGGTATGGTCTTTTTTTTTTTTTAGTTTTATTCATTTCAAACGGGCCGGATCTGGCCCACGGGCCGTAGTTTGCCCACAGCTGGTCTAGGCCCACCCTTCAGTGGCTCATTCAAGTGAGCCCCAAAGTTATTTTCAACATTTAACTCTCCATTGTTCAGTTCCATTCAAGTCCTTTGAACTGCAGCTGCTTTATTACCTTTATTTGTACTATATTTAAGTATTATATTTTTACTGGGTTCTCTCACTCAGATAGTATACTGATAGCTCAATTTACAAGTTTTTCTCTTCAGAAGAATAACCTTACTAGTAGGAAATTCAAATGTGGGACAAATGGGTGAATAAAAATCTGAAGAGTAGAGACTTTTGAGAGTGGATGCGTGGGTGGCTGAGAAGAGATCAGTCAAACATGACACAGATAATAGTGTGGTAAAGGCCTGGGGAGGGGAGTGGAGGCAGGCTAGAAGGGGTCAATGAGGATCCTATATAATAAAAGGCTAATATGCAAATCGACCGAACAACTGAATGACCGGTCACTATGATGCGCACTGACCACCAGGGGCAGATGCCCAATGCAGAAGCTGACCTCTGGTGGTCAGTGTACTCCCACAGGGGGAGTACTGTTCAGCCAGAAGCCGGGCTCACAGCTGGCAAGGGCAGTGGTGAATGCAGTGGCAGTGGCAGGAGCCTCTCCCAGCTCTGCGGCAGCTCTAGGATGTCTGACTGACAGCTTAGGCCTGCCTAAGTCGGCAGTTGGACATCTCCCCAAGAGCTCCCAGACTGCAAGAGGGCACAGGCCGGGCTGAGGGGACCCACCCCCCGACAGTGCACAAATTTTGTGCACCAGGCCTCTAGTATATAATTACAACAATAAAGTTTTTTTTAATATATTTTATTGATTTTTTACAGAGAGGAAGGGGGAGAGATAGAGAGTTAGAAACATCGATGAGAGAGAAACATCGATCAGCTGCCTCCTGCACATCTCCCACTGGGGATGTGCCCGCAACCCAGGTACATGCCTTTGACCGGGATCGAACCCGGGACCCTTCAGTCAGCAGGCCGATGCTCTATCCACTGAGCCAAACTGGTTTCGGCAACAACAATAAATATTTTTTAAAAAATAGTAGAGACCTTGATCTGTAATTAAATATCTGGAAATACAATCTAATATTTAATTAACAATTGTTTAATTGTTAATTAAACAATTAATTGTTAATTAACTGTTTAATTAACAATTAAATTGTTAATTTTAATTTAACAATTAAAATTTTAATTGTTAAATTAAAATTTTAACAATTTCATGAACCACGAAATTGTTAAAATTTTAATTCTTGCCTGAGATTGTAAGCATGAAAATTCTTCATCCACATTTTATGCAGATTCAAGTTAAGAAAGGTAATTTAAAAGTGATCCTTTGTCTACTTGAAGTCTATTCAATTTTACTTTTAATTAAATTTATTGGAGTGACATTGGTAAATAAAATTATGTAGATTTCAAGAGTAAAATCCTATGATACAGCATCTGTATATTACATGGTGTTTATCACCCAAAGTCAAAATTCCTCTGTCACCATATATTTGATCCCCTTTGCTACCTCCTCACACCCTTCCCCTCTGGTAACCACAATACTGTTATTTATGTCTATGAAGTTTAGTTTGTGTTTTTTGTTTTTTCATTTGTTACTTTCAGTTTTATGTTCCACATCTGGTGAAATCGTATGCTTCTTAACTTTTTCTATCTGACTAATTTCACTTAGCATGATATTCTCAAGATCCATCCATGTTGTCACAAATGGTAGTATTTCACCTTTCTTTTGACTGAGTAGTATTCAAGAGTAAATGCTGGGGTCCAATCCCAGCGGGTCCAGGGGTCCCCAAAGGTGTGGACGGAGTCGGCGAAGAAGGAATGACACGAAGACAGCCTTCAGTTGATCAGCAGCCTAGTCAGGACCTATAGCCAGGATCTCCAGCCAAAGTTTTGGTCGGAGCTCTGGTTAGGAACTGATGAGGTTCTGATGTTTATTGTCTTGTTACATCCATATTTATACCAGCCAATTTTAATCCTGTCAATTTCTATTACAAAGGTTAGGGCGTTTCTTATCTCCATTCCAGGGAGTAAAGATTATGTAGCTTAACTACCCGCCTGGCTCTTAATTAAGGGGTTGTATCCCCTCCCTAACCTCAGGGAAAGATCCCCACCTGGGGAAACAACCTTTCTCGGAGAGGTGACCTTGGTTAAAACACATGGCGCTAAAGAGAGCAAACATATTAAGAACAATATGCTATATACGCCAGGTCCCTTGAAACATATGCTGTGCAGATGTTTCTTTCCTGCAGCGACTGTGTCAAGCAGCAAGGATGGACCGGCTCCCGGCAAATTCCCCCTTTTTTATTTTTTAAATGATAGCGCATGCAAATCAGTGGCCACCTCTCAGATTGGGTTGTTTAAGACTCGGAAGAAGACTGACGAGCAGTGATAGCGAGCGTAGCTATAAACATAGTGGATGGAGTGCACAAGGAGCCTTGTTTCTGTAGAAGGTTGCTAGTCTCTTCAGTCAAGGGATTTCAGCTGTCCTCAAGTCGGTGGTTTGGTTGTCCTTGTTGATCTGGCTAGCGGGCAGCATCATTGGCGACGGGCTTCCCGGAGTGTCAGCGAGTTGAAGGGCTGCATCAAAGGGTCCATCAGGGCCGTGCTTGATGGTGGTGTCGGTGTCCGGGAGGAGTCAGCTGTGTCCTCTGGGTTGGACAATATGGATGATACCAGGGAGAAGGAGGATGAGAAGGAGACGGAGGGTGGTGTGACATAAGGTCAGATTAGATGGTATGGAATCCACACAGGTGAGTCTGCATCCTGTGGAAAAATACAAGCATCTCCTCTCCCCCAGGTTAAAAGTACATCAGGTCCCTTCCAGGCTCCTGTAAGTAAGTCTTTCCATTTGATGAAATAAGTGAGTTTCTGCTAAATGAAAGTTTCTTTTGCTGATTTACTCAGAGTCCTCGGATTTGGCTGAGAGAGTAGCTTTCACTTCTTGCTTCTACCATCTGTTGGGTCTCAGTTGTTAACTTCTTCAGCTGACCCCATATTGGCACCTCGGTCCCTTGCATAGCCTTTCTTCTTGTTTCTGTTTTTCTGTCATTGGGGCAACTCTAAGTCTTTGGAACAATGGGACAAGGAGCTTCTCTGGGTCCATTGTGGTGACGCACATAATGCATTTACTCAGTCCAGGGCAGGCATTAAAAAGAAAAACCCCAAATGCTCTCTTGTTTCCATTTTAAAAGTAGGATTGGCGCTTTCCGCTATTACCTGAGTCCTGATCTATCACCCCAGGGAGAGCTTTCCAATCCTGCACTTTTCCGGGGTGGAAAGGCTGCAGTGGGGTTAAGGATAAGGCTCTTGGGCCTACCTTCTCCCATGCCTCTACATTTACCTTTCCTTCCTCAGAAAAGCATGGACATACTTCTTGTATAAAACATTCCATCTGACTGGGAGTAACCTTAACTCCTCTGCTAGCAAGCACATGTGTTAAAAGATCAATACAGAGTCTTTCTTTTTTCTTGACTCAGTATGGCACATCTTCTTAATCTAAAGATCAATACAGAGTCTTCTTTTTTTGGACTCAGTATGGCACATCTTCTCAATCTAAGGATCAATACAGTCTTCTTTCTTTGGACTCAGTATGGCACATCTTCTCAATCTAAGTTCTGTACTATCCACCTTCTTACCCTACTTATCCTCTATAGGGGGGTCTGCAGCACCCTGGTGGAGTCCTATCCGTCCCGAGTGTGGGGGTTCTCAATGGCGGGGGGGCTTACCTAGGGGAATCCTGTTCCAGGGTTCCCAAAGGTGTGGACGGAGTCGGCAAAGACTATCCACCCTCTTCCTACAGTGGAGTCCTATCCGTCCCGAGTGCAGGGGGGCTTACCTAGGGGTCCCTGTTCGGGTGCCAGTTGTTGGGGTCCAACCCCAATGGGTCCAGGGGTCCCCAAAGGTGTGGACGGAGTCGGCGAAGAATGAATGACATGGAAACTGGTTTCAGTTCATCAGCATAGCGAGGTTCTCCCTCCAGGATCTCCAGCGAAGTTCTGGTTAGGAACTCCAACCAAGTTCTGGTCAGGATCTCCAACCAAG